AAATGCAAGAAATGCTAGAAACATAAAAATATCATCTTCAATATAGATGTATAGAAATAAATTGCAACCCTATAATCTGATTTGTTTATAAGAATTACACATTCTGTGTGTTTGATTAGTTGAAAGTGTGAATAAAATCATCGACAGGACCGTTTCCATCCGTAAGGGTGTTTCTGTTTTCACATCGTTCATAAAATATAACTTCTCTGAAAAAAATATATCAAAAACTATTGGCATTCAACTGAACTAATGGAAAGGAAATACTGTGAATATTCATTAGAATTCTGGAAGTAAAGAAAGAAAATTTGACATGTTTGGTATTAGATTCTTAGAATCATTATAGCACTTTCGATTTATCATTCTGTAATGTTGTTCATATATGGATGTATACTATCAAAATTATAGTTTATTCAAAATATATTTTAAATGCATTATAAGAGAATCTTGCTGGATAAATTGAAAAATCATATTGAACAATCATATAGCAAGCAAAGTAAGAAGCATATTCTTGAAAATAAATAAAAAATTTCAAATAACTTTGGACCACAGAGAGATATATCAGATAAACGTCAAAATCTTATTTTTCATTATTCTTTATAGAACATACATCATTTCAGGAGCTGACCCAAAATCAGTTGTTTGTGCTTTCTTTAAGCAGGGACAATGTGGCAAAGGTGATAAGTGTAAATTTTCCCATGACTTGGCAGTTGAAAGAAAAGCTGAAAAGAGGTCCATGTATGTTGACATGCGAGATGATGGAGATGGAGATACTATGGAAAATTGGGATGAAGCTAAACTTAAAGAGGTTATCGAAAAGAAACAAGGGAAATCGGCAGTGATGCCTACAACAGACATAGTGAGTAGTTATTGACAATTGGATGAAAATATTTTTCACAGTTTCAATAATTTTTTGTAACTTATTTTTAATAGTCCTACTTTCTACACAGGGAATTATGAACTTCAACTTTTTACAATAATATGGTTTGTAAAGGCGATAGAGAGTTCTCGGACTTCTTGTGACCTTCAAGAAAAAAGGGAATTTCCTAACACTATCAGTCAAAAATTTTACCCTTCCGGTCANAAAATCACGGTTAAATCTAATGAGGTACATTCAAATACTGAACAACTACCTACTGTATTATCGATGTCTATTGAGTGATTCTATTGCGCATTGCGAGTGATTTATAATTCGAATAATAATTCGATTATGCAAACAAATCGATCACTAATAACACTGTCACTAAACAATAGTGACAGTGATAATTAAAAAAGTACTGGAGGATAGAGAAACTAAAAAAGTTATAGATTTAATATAAAAGAGTACTCAATCGATCAATAACACATACGAAAGCATAAAAGGGCCACAAAAAACAAAATATTATTTTTCTTCAATTCAGGATTGTAACTGTGAATTCACAGTAATAACTATGAATTTTCAGTTATAGGTGTGAATTCTCAGTTACAACTGTGAATTGTAATTTTCCAAGTTTCAGTTGCACTAGTTGAATTTAACTTCAGCTAGGTTTGATTGCAGGTTAGTTTTTGTTTCGTTAACAATCATATTTTAAATAAATTTGCAAAAAATGTAACAGACCGACTTATTAGACACATAGGATAGATATCAACTATTTGCCAAGATGCAGTTAGTTTTCATTCAGTTTTGAATCCCAAGCTTGTCTGAACTTCGCAAAATGAGACACAAGTTGATAACCGGAACGTTCAGTGTTGAAAAGTACCTGAGTCAATAAAAAAAAATAGAAAATGGTAATGACATAATATGAATATTTTTACTCGTCGATGTTTTTGCCCAACTAGGTAAATCTTCGAACTCCACAGACTCTATCCAGGCCACTCTGTCAAGAGCATGATAGGAACTGCAAAAACTGCAATTACAATAACTATTTGGTTAAGGAGGTTTTTTGGGTCATTGACCAATTGTTACTCTTACCACAACAAAATCATCGTAGTATTTTGACGTTTACCAGTTTTTAGAAAAGCGTGCTCTATATCTAACCGGTTTTTGAGTCGAACCACAATAGCGATGATTTTGGAAACACCAAAGCCCATTACAATAAGTTTGAAAAAAAAATGACAGCTGTCAACGACACACTATTTGCATTGAAATTGAAGTACTCAGGTGTTTTCTGGCGTTTAATCGTATTTGAGCGTGTATTCAAAAACGATTCGTAGTTACGTCAATAATAAGATTCGCCAGAATGGAATGATTCAATTTGTGTTAGATGTTAAATTCAATAAAAAAACAAACTTTTAAATTTTATCCAACTCAATTATAATCGTATTTGTGCAAGTAATAATTTTCCAGCTTTTTTTTATACATTCTTGCAACGTATTTCATGAAAAGTGTTCAGCACTTTATAAAATATAACGAGCAAAATGAAGCAGAACTGACGAAACGTAATGTCAAATTCCGTTTCAAAACTAACCCCACGCTAGTTTAGAATCATAACCGAGAATACCTACCACAGAGAAGCGACAAAGACGGCCATTTTGTGTCCCTTTTTCGTAGACGCATGCGTCGACTTGGTTGTCCCACGTCATTCTCGGGCTTGGTAGTCTTCATTAGTCTGTGAGCACTGAGCAAACATAATGAGGTAGGTGGTTGGTTACAAAAGGTACCTACCTAACTCGGTATACATTAAAATTAATACTTAAGCATAAATTAAGTACTACTTAAGCAAGAGTTTTCAGGAGATAATTAGTTTTGAAGAATACATCGTGAGAGAAACAGTAGAAAATTCAGCAATATTTAAGGCACTTGAAATTAAAATTAAATCAATGCTCGAATAGGACAAGCGATGTGTGATATCTATAGATGAGATGGCTTTAAAATCCAATCTTTTTTTTGAAACAGGATGTGATGAAATTATTGATTTCGAAGATATTGGAGAGGCAAATAAGAGGAATTCCATATGTAGAAATGTTCTCGTCATTATGGCTAGAGGACTTTATTCTCCCTGGAAACAACCGATTGTTTTTTTTTCATTGAATCACAGCTACCAGCAAAAAATCTACGTGATATTTTGGATAAGTGCATTTCTAAATTATCCAATATAGGTCTGCATGTTGATGGCATTGTGAGTGACATGGGCTCTAACTTTTATGAATTGTCAAAGTTATTAGGGGTCACTTTAGAAGAATCTGAATTTGAGCTCGGTGGTAAAAAAACTTGTTTATATTTTTGTTCCAAGTCATTTGATAAAAGCCACTAGAAACAATTTTTTAAAACATTCATTTTATTTTGAAGGCAAAAGTACATCTTGGTCTTTTGTGCGCTCTTTTTATGAGCAAGACATAGGGCAATTTTATAGATTCACCAAATCTTACCAAATCGCATATCAATCCAAACAATTTTGAAAAAATGAAAGTGAGTCTAGCAACACAAGTTCTAAGCCGTACAGTTGCCAGTAGAGTGAATGCATTCGTGGCAATGAACTTATTTCTGCTTCTTCTTTTGGTACAATTTAAGTAATAGATACATTCAATAACCTTTTTGATTTGTTGAATTCGTGTTCTTTACGACATCCCTATAAATACAAAAACGTTTTTGAAGCTTCGAAATTCCAGTTAGATTTTTTTGAAGAGGCTCTAACGTTTTTGAAAAATCTTGAAATTTTCAATTCACAGGACAAAAATGTCACAAATCGAGTCAAATTTAGAAAATGCTGGATTATTTCCGTGAATAGTGTAATTAAAATATGAGATAAGCTTTCCAAATTAAATTATAAATATTTAAAAACGAGACGACTCAATTCAGATTGTCTTGAACATTTTTTTGGTGCTGTAAGACAACAATGCGGAAATAATGTTAATGCGACCCCCATACAATTTCAAAGGGCATTCCGGAAGTTGTTTTGCCAAAATTATTTTCATTCCAATCATATGAATTGTAAAAATGATTTAGATGATTTATTAATCAGTATACAATCCACAAACGTGAATGATATATTTATATCAGATGAGAATCACTTTTCTCCAGCCCTTGCCCTTCCGGATTGTGATTATAAAAATGAGTATGTATGTACTCAGAATTCATTTATTTAAGTTTGTGGATACATTTTAAAAAAAGCTCTTCAAGTTCATACATGTTATGATCCTATTAAGTTCGAATCAAGCAGTTAACAAAATCGTTTTTTTTTGCTTCTAGATCTGCAAGCACTTCTTAGAAGCTGTTGAAAAATCTAAATATGGATGGTTTTGGCAATGTCCTGCTGGCGAAAACTGCATATATCGCCACGCCTTACCACCAGGTTTTGTTCTCAAAAAAGATAAAAAAAAACTTGAAGACAAGGAAAATGAAATCACCTTGGATGATCTAATTGAGAAAGAAAGAGCAGCTCTAGGTCCTAAGCAAACTAAAGTTACCCTAGAAACGTTTTTGGCATGGAAAAAGAGAAAGATTCAGGAGAAAAAAGATCAGTTCGTGACCTACCATACTGACTTTGATACTAGTAATTTGGAATAATAAAAAACTCGTATTTTCCAAATTACGATGAGTACCCCCGAAATTTTTTGGAAGAATTCACAATAGGCTATATGGCAGGGTCGAATATCAAATTTTCGAATTTTCAATTTTCACTTGGAAAATTGAAAATTCGTCAAATTAAGAGGGAAGATATTTTCCAGGAGAAAGGCTAGACTTCCATGTAAGTGAAAATTTATATCAATACTCTTTCATTTATCACATTGTGTTGTTTTCCTGTGAATATTTGTTTCAATTCCATACCGAATTCCATGTTAATGTGGAGTTGTTGTTTCGAGAGGTTTTTAACACGCTTTTATTAGCTTCATCTGTATGTGTTTGTAACTCTCAAGCTCGGAATCTGTATTTGACAGAATTATCGACATTATTGCTTGATATAATCGCAGGCAGATGGTGCTGTACGTAACCTCCTTGATATATCGACATTATTGCTTGATTTATTCGCGGCAGAACACTGTACGTAACTTCCTTGATATATCGACATTATTGCTTGATCTAATCGCGGGCAGATGGTGCTGTACGTAACCTCCTTGATATATTGCATTATTGCTTGATCTATTCGCGGGCAGAACACTGTACGTAACTTCCTTGATATATCGACATTATTGCTTGATCTATTCGTGGGCAGATTGCGCTGTATGTAACCTCCTTGATATATCGACATTATTGCTTGATCTATTCGAGGGCAGATGGCGCTGTACGTAACCTCCTTGATATAATTCAAACTCACTTTACATGTATCTGAAAGATACATGTAAAGAATGAAAGTTTGTATCTAAAAGGAACTGTTGGGCATAACCTACACATCTTTGTTGACAGTTTATTCTGAACTAGAGTGCTTTATTCCTAACTTTGAAAGTTTGTCACATTTTTTTGTATAAAGATAGAAAAGAAGACGAAGAATTTTCATTTAAGAAATTACGATGAGTACCACTGCAAAATTCATTGTAGGAACTCTAGATAGTTTGTTTGAAGGTAATTGACAATGTTTCTTGGAGCATTTCATTAGTTGGGACTTCCATTGTCTAATATAGATTATAGATGAACCATGGTTTTTATTTGATAAGTCACCCTATAACACTATAGTCTATTAAAAAGAGTTTCACAAAATTTTACGGGAGTACTTATTTATTATTTTCCCAAGTGTGAAGATTCGTATCAAAGTCGATAAAGTACTTGTCAAGTTAATTTCATATAACCCTGGAAATACAGCCTATCAAGAAGACTTTCACAAAGAAAGTACTTGTCATAATTTGGAAAATATTAATTTTTTTTCAATTTCTGGTGTACAAAAATGTTAGAGATGCGCCAAATACTATTTGGTTTAACTGTTACCAAACTGTTTATCCGGCAGAATTATTCGGTTTAAATATTGATTTGAGGTTCAAAAATAAATGTTNAAAAGAGAAAGATTCAGGAGAAAAAAGATCAGGCCAAAAAAGATGAAGATAAGAAACGTACAGATTACAAAGCTGGAAGACAAGTTGGATTGTCCGGAAGGGAAATGTTTAGTTTTAACCCAGAACTGGCGAATGATAATGATATGGAGGAAGGAGATGAGCTCTTTGACTCAACAACATATGCCCCAGAAGAAGATTCTAATGTTTACAAAGAGATCAATTTGGACATATTAGAGCAGGATATACAAGAGGTTAGTGCTGGACATTATTGTTGAGATATAATTCAGTTGGCCAACATTTATTATTTTATAGTGAAGAATAATCTCTGGATTGTTTCAGCAAAACCATTTGGAGTTTTTATTTTGATTCAAAGTCAAAGTTTCAGAGAAAAAAGTTCTCAATATCTCAGGAAGATTCAAAAATATACCAAAAAGCGTAATCACCTTTTTCGTTTATCATAATGTTATTTACAAAATATGAGTTTTGAATTAAAAAAAAAATTGAATCATAAAATTCATGTGTTACATGAAAAGTGAAATATTTCAGTAATTATTGTAGCTATCATAAAAAAGTTATTAGCATTATTGTTCAAAAAAGTTCTGAAGCTTCACTTGTATGAAGTTCTCCATTAATTTTTTTTATATTTCTCAAGTTGTGGAAGGTGAAAAAAACCCAAGAAAAAGATTGATAAAATACTGCTTTTTCTCCACAGAAAAAGACTTTTGTTTTATAAAAAGAAAACTATTAAATATGCTATAGAATGGCATGAATTTTTTTGTCTTTTGTGAAAGTCGCTGTTTTCGAAAAATTTGGCCAACATTGCATAAATATTTTATAATGTAATTTTTTCGACCTCACCATTGATGTAAAACACTAGAGCTGTTTTTTGTATGGTTTCTCCAGGAACTGTTTTCATAATTTTATGTTTAAAAAATTTTATTGACCTACTCTTCTCAATATAACAGGGTGGCTCATTGCCATATAGTCTCCAAATTTGCATTGATGATAATTGTTCATTTGTCATTGAATGTGTTGAAAATAACGGTTTAGTGTTGGAATTAAACTCCAGTAATATTAATTACTACACCAAAGGTTCGAAACAGTGCATCACAAGTCATAAAAATATGGTTACATAACAGAATTAGAAAAGAAAACGATGTTCTCAACATGGAAAATATCTATTTCCATTTCAGAGCATATCCAAATTCTAACCAGGATGTATTTGGAAAATTACAGTGTCCCCATACATGTTATTTTGTTGAGTTTATTGATTGGTTAGAGAATCATTCCAATCATCTCTTCCCACAACTTTCGTTGATGCAAAATGTTGGAAAAATTATAAGAGAGCAATATTCAACAATCACATTTCTTCATGCTTGTAAGGAATTTCCAATATGTAATCGTTGTTTGTGAGAGTTTGGATAGTTTATGGAAACAAAAGGTTTCGACTTTCTACTTCTCCATCCATATACTGAAAAACATGGGAAACTTCCGAATGAACGAAGGAAGCAATTAATTTCAAAATGTACACTTTACAAAGATGTTATCTATGATATTAATTGATAGTAATTTTTGCAAATATTTTCATTTCTAGAAATGAAAATGTTAATTTTCATCAAGTAATTGGTCAGTTCATAATTACATAGAAGTTACTTTCAGATACAGAGACTGGAAAAAATGCCCTTTCCAAACAATTACTTCTATATAAACATATTAGACGAAAGAAAGAGTACTTTCGAAACAACTACTCTTATATAAACATTGAATTATACAAAACACACATTTTCTTTCTCAGTTTGTATTCCAAACATTCGTTATGGCACAAGAAAACAGAAAGCGCATTGGTTTATAGATGAGTTATTTCATAAAATGAGTTAAGGTTCCCAAAGGATAAAATGATGAGAAAAAAATGGGTGAAAGTATTGAAAAAAAAAAGGACTACAATCCTTCTACTCTTCCAAGACTTTATAGAAATCATTTAAAAAGTGACTATAAATGAAAGTATTCTCCACAGAAAGTATTATCTGGATGTAACACTGTTGCTGAAAGTATAATACATTTTACTTCATCAAATTTTATTATATGATTGATGGTATTACCTCAGAAGCTTTTGTTGGATCAGTTCGAGTACAAACAATTCTGTCTATACATGACCTCATTCAACCTTCCTCTCAAGTTTTGGAAGATTCAACAGATTACCCATGCGAGCCTATAATGCTTGAATTTAGTAGCAATATTAGAAAGAGTTATGTTTGCAGGATTTTTTTATAATAAATTGCAGTTGTACAGATTGAGGATTGTAAAATAAATTGAATATTTGAAATGATTCTTTAATCCAGTTTGCTATATTTTTTATTTTCCTAACTAAATAATGCATAAAATCATAGTTTAGGTAAATATTTTGTTATCTCCCTACTTTGTGTACTGATTTTAGATATAGAACTTATTTCCAAACATGATTTTTCGTGTATATTTTATTGAATGTGGAAAATTTTTCATTAATTGTAACGTTAACGGGTTCATATACACTTCCATAATTGAATTGATAAATATAGGCTTCGTAAATTTTACGATTTGGCAATGTTGATTAGTTCTATTGTTCCTATTGGTCAATCGAACAAAAAGCGGCAATAGGGCCGTGACGTCAACGCCCCACCACATTCGATTTATAATAGTTAATTACGGAAAAATTACGGTACTTAGAAAGCTGAAACAAAGTGCACTGTTTTTCAATTTGAAATTTCTTTCAAGTGAACTATAACCAAAAATCATGAAAATGTTTTACGGTGTGTTCTTTTTGTTGATTATTATTACGCTACTATCTGTAATCGAAAATACAACCACTTTACAAACAACTGTAGGTTTTTTTGTAATCGCTGATGATACCAAACGTCACTCATCGAGAACATCTATGAATCAGCAATGTAGTTCCTCACTTCAGACAATTCTTGTCATAATCTGAAAAATAGGTCATAAATGAAAATCTAATTTTAGTATGTTTTCTTCAAGATTTCATTTAAAATACAATGATATAATATCGATTACTGAAGATTAATAGGTTTTCATTGAATAGAGAAGTTCATTGTCCAGATACGACGACTAACGGAAATATGATAACTAAGACAAAACAGAACAAAAAACCTGTTCTGTTTTTAATTCACAAATCTTTGTAGTTTCTCATACTTGTCGTGAATGAAAATAATTTATTAATTTGTCTCCTGTCTATAATAATTGCACCAGAGAACATCATTATCACAAATTCACTGTTAAATAACTCAAAACATAACAAACTCCCAAAAAAAGGAAATAATGAAGTTTACAACATTTCTGTAGGAATTCTCCTCTATATTACATTTTTGTGGAAAAATGTAATCAAATATATTTTGATTCTGGTAACATTGCCATTTTAGTGCCAAGCAAACGGCTGACAATTGACAATAAATTTGACATTTGAAATCCAATATATAGGATTTTGTGGATATATATGAAAGATACTTTTTCGGAATTTTTATGTGAGAAAGAGAATTAACGAAATTATTTTAATAGATCAGTTAAATCATATAGTTATCGGAAATGCCGCCTAAAGCTAAACCGGCTGCTCCAAGTAAAAAAACTGAACAAAAAAAGAAGGAAAAGGTTATTGAGGTATGTTCATGCAATATGTAATTTTTATATTAAAACTTCCTAGGGGGACGGTTATATTGAATCGTATCTGAAGACAAGCAACAATGGTTCTGATCGGATTCTTAAGAAGTTTGTAGATACCTTAATTTATTGATGAGCTTGCATGGGTCCCATGTTGAAAAATTGAAATGGAACACTTGAATATTAGAAAAAAATTCAATTGATTGTTCCAAAGGACTTATCTTTCTTCTAGTGATAATTTAGATATTCAGTATGTTTCTTGGTGATCATTAAACCTAATTTTTTTAAGGACAAAACATTTGGACTAAAAAATAAGAAAGGTGCCAAACAACAAAAATTTATTCAACAAGTGGAAAAGCAAGTGAAGACTGGTGGTTTACATCCTCAAAAAGAAGATACAAAGAAATTAGAGAAAGAAAAGAAGTTGAAGGAACAAAAAGAATTGGCAGCACTCTTCAGGCCTGTTCAAACTCAAAAAATTGAGAAAGGTACATTTTTCTATCTTACCTATGAATTTGGAAACACTGAAACACCTAACCCTTTCCATCAACACTGCTGAGCATATTATTTATGTATAAACACGAGAGTGTAAGTTAGGCCAGTGAAATTATCCGCTGGGACTTTTATCACACTTTTGATTGATAAAATGGTTCATTCTTATTAACAAAATCATTTATAGGGTTGCAATTTATTTCTATATGTCTATATTGAAGATCACATTTCTTCTTGCATTTTGAAATAACATTTTTTCTAAATACTTCTATTTTGTAGGTCATAAACTGCTCGTTGGTATTTTTAAAACCATTTAAAAAAACTTCATGATAGAAAGTTGATTACTCTTCCTTTTGTTATTATTAAAAGTAGTCCTATATTTGTGAGTCAAAGATTGTCTGCTGAAATAATGGTAATCATGACCATAAACATTACGTTCATTATTTTCATGCTTTTTCTACCATTATTGCTCTTGAATCAAATTTCTCAGAGCACAGTGAATAACATCTCCAGTTTTTTTCTTCTACCGGTTCCCTCTACCGGTTTTCTCATATTATGTAGATCATAAATCTTGAAATAATAATGATAAAAAATCAAAAATTCAATGATCATTTTATTTGCGTTTTTTTGTACTCTCTACTCCGTTTCTGAAAACTTTTATGTTGAAAATGGTGAATATCAAACATCTTTTATTCGAAGAGTTGATGATAACTTTCTCATGAGGATGTCATCTAATGTATCGACTGAAAACCCTCTTCCTCTAACGTGATGGAATAGGCCGATATTTCCTGTACATAGTACCTATATTGAGAAAAAATATTGAATTTGATTTCAGAAGACAGAAACGCAAAAATAATGATCTTTAGATTTATGATTAATATTATCATTATTTCAGCAAACAATTTGAGCTACAAAATATGGGACAAACTGTACTAAAAAAAGAGGATCATAAAGTTTTTGAATAAACAACATGAAATACCACAAATGCAAGTGTAACTATAGTTAGATTTTTGTCTTAATTATTTTGACAAGTAGTTCAACAAGTTTTTTCGTTTTTCGTGCGAGCTAAGGTTTAACGGGGTCTTATCTTTCAAAGCGCGATTCCTGGCACGGAAAATACTAAACAATTAGTATGAATATGAATTAAAAATGATTTCAAAAACACAAAAATTGAACCAGAAACACAAAAAATTATGAACGTAAGCTTAATGGTCATTATTATTATTACATTAGACAACTTGTGGGCTACAAAATATGAGATAACCTGTAATCGATAAAAGATGATCAGTATCCACAATTTCCATTACGAAATTTTCAGAAAAGGAGTAAAAAATATCCGAAACGCAAATAAAATAATTATTAGTTTTTTTATATCTATTTTTGTTATTTCATCAAGTAGTTTACGACTTACAAAATATAGTACAATCGGTATTCAAGAGAAGGAGATTGTTATTTCATCATATAGATTAGGAACTTTTTCAAAAAGTGAATAATAGTATAAGAAACACAAAAATAGTGATCGTTATATTTATGCTTACCTATTTGGGCAAACAATTTTTGACTTACCAAATATGGAACAACCTGTAATCGAAAAAGAGGATCATTCTCCATTTCCGTCGTAAGAGATTTCAGAAACGTAGCAAAAAATACCAAAAACTCAAATATAACGATCCTTAGATTTGTGAGCTTTATTATTAACATTTTTGGGAAAGAAAGTTTTTGGCTTTCTACTACTCCATCTGATACAAAAAAAAAGGGATGAGAGAATCTTACAAAGAAAGGAAGGAAGTAATCAATTTGAAAATAAGTAACTCTATACATGGATGTGTAGATCATGCAAAGAAGTAACTTTCAGACACAAACTGAAAGAAAGTCCTCCTGAAACAGCTACTTTCATATAAACATTGAAT